TCCCTATTTGAATAAGGATAAGCCAGTACAGCTGAATGACATTTTTTTAATTTTCTCTCCCCATCCACTCCCAAAAATGTTCCTCTTAAAAGGTCATTATGATATCAGATTATCCAGCCAAAATTTTAATAGAAGAAAAAAAAATGATATCTAAATCACATCGTAGACTGAGAATTTTTTTTTTAATGATTTAATCCCATGCAAGGCAATAAAGCAACTAAGACATGAGGGGGGTTATGGATGTGGAAGAATTAGAAAAACATAAACATTATTAAGGAGTGAGAAGAATAAAAGAGTAATCGGGAAGAGAGTAGATAACGATTGACATTGCATTTCAATTTTTGAAGATCAAAGTTGACTGGAAAGCAAGAAGCCGGAAGAGAGTTCCACAAGTGAAAATTGAGTGAGAACAATAGAAGAGTAATCAGGAAGACTTGTAGATAACGATTAACATTGCATTTCAATTTTTAAAGATCAAAGTTGACAGGAAAGCAAGAAGCCGGAAAAGGGTTCCACAAGTGAAAATTGAGCGAGAACAATAGAAGAGTAATCAGGAAGACAGTAGATAACGATTGACATAAAAATAAAATAACAATGCATAATAAAAAACAAAAAACAAAAACATTTTCCCATGAAACTAAGAGTAGAGGAACCTGGAATTTAATTACCGCCCATGTTTTCGTCAAACGCTGATAGATGGCGCTGGTTAAGTCTATATAAAGATAAACACTTTCTTACCTAGTCCTCTTTCTTTCCTTGCTCCAAGACGTAGACCAACGTGGTAATTACGTCCCAGCTGGAGAACTCCTGTTTCCACTGACGGCTGAATATTCTTTCCCTTTTCCAACGCATGTCGTCAGACGTTGGTCTCAAAATCTCTACTTATTAAGTGAGTACAAATGATTTCTTTGGTTCTTCCAGCTCTGCACAAGGCTGAATTAAAATCAACCATTAATACTAGGCTGATACTTAATTACCCTAACTTCTGGTCCCAAAAGAAAACGGGCATCCTATAATCATGTATAAACCTCCCAACGATAAAGTAAAAACTTTTCTTTAGCTGCTCCTACTCTGTGCAAGGCTGACTTGAACTCAAACGTTAATACAATGATGATACTTACCCTAACTTCTGGTCCAAAAAGAAAACAGACATCCCATAACCATGTTTAAACCTTTCAGCTATAAAGTACAAACTTTTCTTTGGTTGTTCCAAGTCTGGCCAAGGCTGACTTGAACTCACCCATCAATACTTACTATAATTTCTGGTCCAAAAAGAACTTTGTTTCCTTAAGGTTTATACGATCCTGACACTTACCCTAACTTCTGGTCCAAAAAGAAAACGGATATCTCATAACCATGTTTAAACCTTCCAGCTATAAAGTACAAACTTTTCTTTGGTTGTTCCAAGTCTGGGCAAGGCTGACTTGATCTCAACCATTAGACGTACTTACTCTAATTTCTGGTCCAAAATAGACTTTGTTTCCCCAAGGTTTATATAAAAAAGGGATAAATGACCTGTAATAGAAACACAAGTATGTTTTTTCTTAATTATTTGTCCTGTGTGGATGCAAACACACACACGCCTACAATACCCCACAACTTGCAACCTTTTAAATGATTTTTTTAATTTATGTTCACCCAATACAAGGCCCAAGAGCCACTCAAGGTAGCAGGTTACTTAGCGTCGGAATGGACAAGCGTCATGAATATAATAAAAAAAAGATGGACTTTTGGAATTTTCAGTATTCTTATGTTGAACCACTGTAACGATGTTCTCCGCTCGTTCGTCGTTCACTGCACCTATAATGACATTCAAGGTCGGTTGTATGCGTATACACCCGGCTAGCTATGTCTACAAGTTTGTTCACTTGGCCGTAATCGAATTCGACAATGAATAAACACAAATGCTTTTCAAGATACCCTTGTTGGTTAGCAACAACATGAACTCTCATTTAGCCGTCTATGTTTTCCTACGGCTGAACTGCTATCTCTCTAAATTCTGCTAGTCCCTTCCTCACTGGTCACTTACCTACTTACTGACTTCCTGCTTCACTCTGTTTATATGGATATTGTCTGGGCTCCACTACCCCTGTCCGTCCCTTTGTGTTCCGTAACAAGAAACCACCCTTTCGATTTTTTGGGTGGTCAACTTCTTCAAAGGACTACTTTTATGATTATCTAAAATCATTGAGAAAATTTTATGTTTGCCAACGCAAAGGCGTCTGGAGACAGAAATCCTGAAAAACTCTGATACTGAAGTTGTCTGGAGACAAATTTTCTACGAAACTCAAATAATTAAGTGGACTTAAAAGTAAAGGGAATTTATCTACATATCTTCTGAGGATATGTAAGGAATCGTATTGTTACACCACATTTCTGCTGCCTCTAATTTTCTCCACATCCTTGGGAAGATTACCCAGAATTCATTGGATAGATAAAACATAGCTATCCAGCACTCTTCTTTGTTTCCAGCGAAGATTTCCCGTTTCTTAGCATCTTAGTCATGTCATAAAACCGTTGACGGGCAAAGGTCACAACAATCAGAATACGTTTTACGGTATATACCCCTTGACACGTTCGTATTCAAGAGGACGCTCATTTTTTTTTTTTAGAAGAAATCAGTGAGTGATATCGTTGTGTCCCATTCTGATTCTTGATAAGACAACTTCTTCTTTCCAAAAATGCTTGAAACCATGACGCCATTCTCCTAGAATGGGTTTCATTTTGTAAAGTTTGTTCTTTTGGTGGTAGTTACAGTGAGTGCGAAATTAATAAGAGCTCCCTTCACCCACTTTTTTCAAATTCGGAGGACTGAGGAAGAGATAAAGAAATTCGAGAGCCTCTGTGAAATTGTTTTTGAACCAATGAAAATTTGCCTTCGCAGAAATTAGCTGAAGAAATTAGAAGAAAAAAAGAAAGTAGCAAGCCCACGAGAAATTATTTTTGTTATAAAATAAGGATAAAAATTAAAAGAGAAGAGTGTCTGAAGTCATGTAAAAGGTTTTGTTTCAGTTCCTCACGACCAGCGTTGAAGTACTCGCCTGTGTAAAATTACTTGACGATTACATTATCGGCCTATAACCAAGCATGTGGCACAATCCAGAACTATTTCAAACTATCTCTCTTTGCATACTTTTGAACGTATGCGAACCATATATCCTATCGGTGAGCAACAAACACTCTTATCTTTGTTTGAAACATTTTTGAATATTATTTTGTGTCAGATCATTTAATCTCTGTTCTATGAACATTTCCTCTTCATAATAATTCGTGGACTTTAAAAATGTCTTATTTATTTTCCTGAAACAAACTGCTGACATGGCTTCAAGCGTGTAAATACGTAGATAAATTCCTTATCTTTTGTCAGAATTAACCGTGTGTTTCCTCGTCATTATAATCCTTTATTAATCTTCTAGGCGTGGGTAAATCAACTGTACATTTTAATCCCTAAGTCCCACTCCACTAACGCATATCCGAAATTAAGTTTATTGTAGATATAAATAACTTATGCATATATCCCTTCAGTCAGCAATGAACTATCTTGCCTTTGTCTTAAACATTTTTTAATATAATTTTGTGTTAGATCATTTAATCTCTGTTGTATGAACATTTCCTCTTCATGACAATTCATTAAAACTACCAACTTTAAACATTTCTGATCTATTTTCCTGAAATGAGCCAATGACACAAATTCAAGAGTGCAAATTCATAAATAAATCCTTGTTTTGTTAAAATTACCCACGTGTTTCGTCGTTATTAGCATCTTCCGTTAATATTCCTGGCATGGGTAAATCAACTGTACATTTTAACCCCTAAGTCCCACTCCACTATACAGTTCCATTACTCCTGCTATTTGGCTAGAATGCATGAGTTTTTTAAACGTTTCACCCCAAGCAAGGCGGGAAGCCACTAGCACGTAAGGGGTTACAGAGAGTTGGGGCGAGAGCAAAGAGGAGTGATAGAGGAAAGGATGAAGAGAAGGATAGGGGATAAATCAAGGCATATGGAGACGTCGATTGACATTGCATTTGAATAGTTGGAGATTATAGCTATCAGGGAAACAGGAAAAGGGGAGGGAGTTCCACAGGCGATAAGTGCGAGAAATGAAGCTATTGGAGTAGAATAGACGGCTACATTTAACAGTTTCGACAGTGAAAGGGTGAGAGCCAGATGCCAGCCTAGTTGAACGCTTAAATTTATAAAGTCTGGGAACCAGCGAAAGCAGCTCATCGGAGCAGTTACTATGAAAGTATTTGTAAAAAAGAGGCAGGGGTACGTCTGTAAGAGAGCGACTGCAGACGAGATGCCAGATCAGGGCCGATTACATTGCATATCCGTCTCTGGATTTTATCAATGACCTTGAGACAAACGGGAGGGGCTCCAGACCATATATGGCAGCAATACTCCATGCAAGGTCGAATGGTTGATTTCTAGATTTAAAGGATCGACTACGGCGAGAAAATTTTCTGGCGCAGCACAGGGAGCGAACTTTCCTAGCGGTGGACGAAGCTATTAACTCAATGTATTTGTTCCATCTCAGGTCAGCAGTCAATTTGAGACCGAGCAGTCGCAAAGAGGTGGTCTCGTGAAGTTGAGCGTCAGACATTCTAATGTGGGGCAGGGATGGTTCTCTGGTGAGTAATAGAGAGCATTTTTGTTTTTGTTGCTTTGAAGTCTCTATAAGGGGGTTAAAAATTTTACCTGCATAATAAAAACTGACATAATTTAGTAATTCGGGGGGGAGGGCAATTTATTATTTAATAACAATAGAGAAACGTTCCCCCACTTTATGACTTGTAGAAACTTAGATTAATTTTAATCTAAATATAAATTGCAAACTTTTTCAATACCATTTGGTGAATAAAAAATTTATTGTGACAACATTAATTTGCATAAAAGTCATACAGTGTAAAATTCAGATATGCATTATACTCGGAAGCACTTTATACAGCATGGAATATTTTGAGAATGTACCAAAAAACAACACGAGCACAGCTTACATTTTACACAGAGTGTAAACAATGAAAATTAATAGAATGTTTTTCGTCCATGACCGTAACGGCTGCGATGCTGTCGATGTTGTCTGAGTTGTCGAATATGGAACTAAAATAAAAAAATAAAATAAAATAAATTAAAAAAATAAAATAAAAATGAAATAAAATAAAAATAAAATAAAATAAAAAATAAAATAAAAATAAAATAAAATAAAATAAAAAATAAAATAAAAATAAAATAAATAAAAAAATAAAATAAAGTAAAAAAATAAAATAAAATGAAATAAAATAAAAAATAAAAATAAAATAAAAAATAAAATAAAATAAAATGAAAAATAAAATAAAAATAAAATAAAATTAAAATAAAATAAAATAAAAAAATAAATATAAAATAAAAAATAAAATAAAAATAAAATAAAATAAAAAAATAAATATAAAATAAATAAAATAAAAATAAAATAAAATAAAATAAAAAATAAAATAAAAATAATATAAAATAAAAAAAGAAAAGAAAAAAGAAAAACGGATAAATAATGAAAAGCCAAAAATAAAGATAAAATATAAGAAACAGAGAGAAATTTAAAAAAATTAAAAATACTAGAATTTTTTGATTTGGATGTTAAAAAATTGAAATAAAAATAAAAATTAAAAAGTAAAAAATAGAAAAATTTCTAAATGTTAGAAAATAAAATTAAATAGAAAAAATTAAATTAAATTTTGAAATTACAAAATTAAAAAAAAAAATGAATGTTAAGAAATTAAATTTAATAATTTAAATTATAAATGTAAAAAATCAAATTTGTAAAAAGAAAATAAGTAGATGCAGCAGTCAGAACAGTGGCTTGGCAGGAACACGAAACAAATAGAAATTTGGTTTGGTTAGGTGAGGTTACAATGGTTAATTAAACGATATATTAACCACTGTTAAATTAAGTAACGTCGTCTCAATCTAAAAGGACAAAAACATAACGAATTACTGTTATTGTATGCAATAGAGTAAAAAAGCAATAAAGTAATAATGTATTGCTGGTAATAATATTTTCCTGGTATTAAAACCTATTTTTACACAAGTTTGGGTGTTAACTATTTACCCATAGCTGGGACCCTAACAGGTGCTACCACCCCAGGTCAGGGTGGACCTGGAAATACCAGCAATTAAGAGGTGGTTCCACGTTCCTCAATGTGATCAGAGGCCTTGCTGTCAGATGTAGTTTATCGTTTTACTAAGGACGGAAGTAAACAAGTAATTATAATGCAGATAAATAAAGTGGTGGATCAATTCTATATTAGAAGCAATATATAGATTGATCCCTCACTTTGTGACCTCAGTAGTTTCTATACATTTATATTCCAGAGGCTGAAAATAAATCTAAAAGACATGCCTACAATAAATTATAACTAGGCTATAAAATGGGGGATCAATTTTATATTACAATCAATATATAAACTGATCCCTCTTTTTTGGCCCCGGTAGTTTCTATACATTTATATTTCAGCGAATGTCAATAAATCTAAAAGACATGACTACAATAAATTAGAACATGGCTATAAAGTGGGGGATCAATTTTATATTACAAATTTTAAATAAACTGGCCCCTCACTTTGTGGCTACGGAAGTTTCTATACATTTATATTCCAGAGAATGTAAATAAATCTAAAAGACATGTCTACAATAAATTATAACGTGGCTATAAAGTGGGGGATCAATTTTATATTACAATCAATATATAAACTGATCTCTCACTTTCTAGTCACCGTAATTTCTATACATTTATATTCCAGAGAATGTAAATAAATCTAAAAGACCTGCCTGCGTAAGACTTAATTAACGCATAGTTCGAGGGAGAGGAAGAGGTGAATTTATATTTTCCTCAAGGGTATTTGCGCGTAAGTGAATATAACGAACCCAATGGGAATTAGAAATCGGCTCTCCGATTAACAATTCGAAGCTGATATCAATTACACCACCCGCACATCCAAGCTTATAGCACCTAGTATTCCAAAGCGGTCACTCATCAGGGTCGTACGGGAATCAGTGTTTTAACGTGGAGGGGGTTGTAAGCCTATTAAATTTCGATCATGCACCACAACAGACGACACCTGAATTGGGAATGAGTTGTCTTCTATATAATAAATGCGAATGTCTGTGTGTCACTGTGTCACACATTTTCAAATTTACTCCTAGAAATCCGTAGCCCAACATGTCATACCATTTTGGAATCAGGCCGACTTTGTCAGCATATCAAAAATCATTCCGGGCTGGATCTAGACCCGCAATCCTGAAATTTTGGATTCCCAAGTTTTCATTACTGCGATTGTTTTCGGGTTCGGCCATCTTGGCTGATAAAATCAATTAAAGGGAGATAACTAGCTAACTTTCAATAGCTCATGATCAAACGAAAAAATTACCGTTCTCAAATTACAGTGTTTCAAAATAAAATTGTCAGTGTTTTCATCTTTACGCTCAGAGGCCTTATCCTGGATCCGGACCAGCAATCCTGAAATTTTGGATTCCCTAGTTTTCATTACTGCGATTGTTTTCGAATTCCGGCATCTTGGTTTCTACTGATAAAAGCAGTTAAAGGGACACAAGTCTCTAACTTACCATAGCCAATGTTCAAAGTAAAAAAAATACTATTCTTCAATTACAGTGTTTCAAAATAAAATTGTATGTGTTTTCAACTTTATTCTGAGAGGCCGCAGCCCAACATTTCATATCATTTTGGAATCAGGCCGACTCTTGGAGCAAATTAAAAACCTTCCCGGTCGGATCTGGACCGGCAATCCTGAAATTTCTCTAACATTGAGCTATTGAAAAATAGAGAGTTGTGTCCCTTTAATTGAAAAAGTGTGACACAGTGACTCATTGGGATTTATTATATAGAAGGTGAGCTATTGAAACTTGTGTCTTTTTAATTAAAAAAGTGTGACGCAGTGACAATGGCATTTATTATATAGAAGATGAGCTATTGAAAGTTGTGTCCCTTTAATTGAAAAAAATGTGACACAGTGGCACACTAACATTAGCACTTATTATATAGATATATGATTGCAACGCCACCTTATGGTTCCTAGTAGAAGTACTTTGGCTGACAAGTAAGATAATCCCACAATATCGTTTGTCAATCTGCCTCCGATTTTCACTCTCTTTTCTTTTTTATTTGCATCAATGTAGCAATGATTATTCTCCATAATCCGTGCAAATGCAACTGGAGTTTTTGCACATATTATAAAATGTTTATAAGTATAAGAACTTACACGAATTTGATTGGTCAAGAAATTCAGTCTTACCTCCAACATTCAATTTGATGGTAACATTTTTCGACGAATCAACGTCGTTGATGCATGTGAAAGTGACCGCGTCTTCAGGCTTGACAGGATCGATAACTAATTTCGACCGTCGAATGTATTTTGTTTCATAGATCCTATTGAAAAATATAAATATATTTATGAAGGTATATGTGAAAAGTGTATATATATATATATATATATATATATATATATGAAAATTTCTCAGAGTTAACCTGTAGAAAAGACAATATTTATAAATATAAATGACAATAGGAAAACTGTAATAGTTGCTTGTAAGCATTGAGGCATAACTTTTTTATCAACACAATTTCTAAGAAAGTTTTTCTTGTTTTTATATGAATTAGCGGATGTTAGTTGTTTCCTGCATATTCTGACGATATCTGTGTGTATGTTTTTTTTTTATGTCGACAAATATGTTTAACTCTGAGAAATTTTAATATTTGTCGACTGGCCTCACGTTTGCAACTGACTTGAAGTGGAATGACTAGATCGAATCAGTAGCTGCATCTACTGCAAGGAAAATTGGGTAACTGTGTCGTGCCAGAAGGTTTTCATCGTCAGAGTCTATCTTGCACATTTACATATCTACTATTCGTCCCTGCATTGAATAATGTTGCCATATCTGGTCAGGTTCTTCTCCTACTTAACTCGAGATTCTTGATAAAATCCAAAGGAGGATCTGCAATGTCATAGATCCTGACCTGGCATCACGACTTCAGTCATTTTCTCATCGTGTTACGTGGCTTCCCTCTGCCTTTTCCATAAATATTTTCATGGCCACTCCAACCTCGACTGCATAAATTTAAGTTTGCTTACGAGATTGGCATCTAGGTCCCACCCTTTTACTGTTGAATTAGTCAAATGTAACTGCCACTTCTACTCCAACAGTTTTTTTTCTCGCACTTCCAGCCTGTGGAACTCCCTCCCGTTTAATTGCTTCATTGAATATTACAATTTTCAAAATAATGGAATGTCAATCGCTATATTCTGTCTTCTTGAATTCCGTTCATATTTTATTCTTTCCTCAATCCACCTTATACTCAGTCTTTTTTTTATCGCTTCCACTTGTTGTAGGGCGTACTAGTGGAATTCTCACCTTCCTTGTAGTGAAATGATTTTTAAAAATACACACACACACACACACACACACATATATATATATATATATATATATATATATATAAACATATCTCAATACAAGGCAGATGTGAGTTTAAATTATCGCAAAATTAAAGTCATATAAAATATAAAACGAAAATCGAGAAAATGAAATAAGAAGCGAATTCTACCCAAAACCTTCTTATTTCTTTCGCTACGATTGTGTTGAATGATTAAAAAATATAAACATCACATAACGCTCCATTGTCATGCAGATCTCCCAGCATACGCGGTGCAAGTTCAAGGGAGGTAACTCCATTAAAGCGAAGAGTTAATTAAAACGCTTAAAGCATGCATCATCATCTATACAGTGCAGCCACGGTTCTCGAACGGCTCACATGTCGAAGAAATGGGTTTTCGAACAGAAAATTCGAGATGCAAATTCCTTGGTTATCAAACAATTTTCGGATTTTCGAACAACATTGCCAAACCGAGTTAACCCGAACGGAATCATTTCTTAGTCGACCGCCATGTTGTATACATTCGTGTTTTGTTCCCTCCTTTTCTTTTCCAATTTTATTGTACTGTACTCTATTTTTTTCTCTTCATTAGTCCTGAGTCATGGCTCCAAAGAAAGCTAGCAATGATATTGGTAAAGGAAAAAGAAAAGTTAAGAGAAAAATAATTATTAATGATATTGTCTCTTCCTATTCAGTTTCATATGGCAAAAATCAACGAACTATATTATTCTTATAAATAAAGAGACGATTATATATCTCCTTCCTCTTTTTCAAACAATAACATCTCTTTCTTTTCCCTTACATGACATCAAATCTCTTATTTACAGGTACGGTAAAATTAAAGTGTTCGTCTAAATTTTATCTCTTTAGTATTGGGTTTATTTTTTTCTTAGATTTAAGGATTTTCATTAGTTTTGTGTATAAACTTTTTTGTAAAAGTTAAGCAATTATCTTAGGACCAGGAACGGGTTAATCTATTTTACATTGGTTCTTATTGGAGAAATAGTTTCGGAAAATGAAGATTTTCGGCTTACAAATGGGCTTCAGGAACGAATAAAATTCATAAATCGAGGTTCCACCATTTATATTTATATATATATATATATATATATATATATATATATATATATATTTATATATATCAGGTCATCCATAAGTTCTGTCCGAATTTTAACTTTTTTGTTAAAATGAACGAAATTAAAAGAGTATTTTATAATGTTTAATGGAGCTGAACATTATTTTTATGTTTAGATGCATTTAAACTGATCAAATTTTATTTCAGAGAACAATAAAATTAAATTTTGTTTGATTAAAACCCTGCTAACATGGAAGTACCCAAGAATCATTTGAGGCACATAATAATGCTTTATGAGTTCAAGAAAGAAAAACTCAGCAGCCGAAGCGGCTAGAAACATTCACTCAGTTTATGGAGAGGAATGTGTGAATGAAAGAACTTGCAGAAGATGGTTTGCAAAATTCAGAGGTGGAGATTTCACCCTTGAAGATGAAGATCGAACCGGACGTCCAGTTGAGTTTGATGAAAAGCTTCTTGAAGCAGCCCTTGAAGAAAATCCTGCTTTATCAGTTGAGGAATTGGCAGTGGTTCTCAGTTCAAACCATACAACTGTTCATCGTCATCTTCAACAACTTGGAAAAGTTCCTAAACTTGGAAAATGGGTGCCTCATGAATTGTCTGAAAACAACCTCAAATCCCTGAGTTGACATCTGCTCTTCTCTCCATTCTCGCCAACTTGTTTCACCTTTTTGGATAGACTTGTGACTGGCGACGAAAAATGGATCTTTTATCGAAATGTTAAGCGTCGTAGACAGTGGCTTGGTAAAGGGAAGGACCCCAGCCACAGCCGAGAAGGGAACTTCATGGGCAAAAGGTTCTTCTTTCAATCTGGTGGGATCGCCAAGGAATAATCCACTTTGAATTCTTACCACCTAATGCAACAATTAATGCTCAAATATACTGTCAGCAATTAGAGCGTTTGAACCAAGCTTTGAGGAAAAAAAAGACCTGCTCTAGTGAATCGAAAAGAGGTGATGTTTCATCAGGACAATGCGCGACCCCCACACAGCAAGAATCACGTCACAAAAGATCGAAGAACTTGGTTGGGAGAAAATTCCTCATCCACCTTATTCTCCCGATCTTGCTCCTTCAGACTACCATTTTTTCGTAGCTTACAGAATCATTTGGAAGAAACAGCTTTTTGTAACACAGGAAGAGGTTAAAACTGACATTTGTGAGTTCTTCGAATCAAAGCCAAAAGAATTTTACAGTAATGGAATTAGTAAGATTGTTAATAGATGGAAGGAAGTCATAGATAATCAGGGAAAATACATTGTTGATTGAATCTGTAATTAAATGTAACATTTGGTCACTTGTTTTCTTTATTCAAAATTCGGACAGAACTTATGGGATGACCTGATATATATATATATATATATATATATATATATATATATATATATATATATATATATATAAAAAAAAAGGATGTCTGTCTACAATGATAGAATTTTCACTCGAGATCCATCCAACCGATTTTGACCAAACTTGGTATATACATTGTACAATGTAAGAGATAGGTTCTTTGCGTAAAAAATCGATAATTTTTAAGAATCAATAATCGATAAAGCCGATCAATAATCGATAAATTCAACCTTTTCCCTCCAATTTCGTTCAAATTCGGTATGTAGGTTACTTATATCATGACGAGCTCAAAGATACCTCATTTCTATTTCTACACCACTGCCTTTAGCGAAAAACCTCGAAAAATCGATTTCAAACAAATCGATTTCAACACAAATTTTAAACTAAAATCTCCCACATTTTTCAAGCAATCTAAAGCAAATTTTACCCCATTGTAGCCAACAATAAGTTGATTGTTTAACAGTCATTTAATTTGATAATTGTGTCCCCCATATAGTGAAAACCCGCGTAAATAGCGAAAAATGGCGATTTTTATTGGTTTCTTTCTTATTTTTTGTTTATCTTTCAAGCAATTTTCAAAAAAACATAAACAATTGCTTTATACATATTCTCTTTTTACATCCCTGGTAGCACACTGACAAATTGAATTTCAAAAACTCCAAAATAATTGTGGTCTGAAGTGGATCTTCATGTTGCCTGTTTTACCCCTTCATGTCCTCAGGTTAACTTCGATTGAATAAATACAGACTACTTCTGTTATATCAGTAACTGCATTAATTCAAAATGTTTTTTTTTAATGAAATTATTTTAAAGTAATTGAAGAAGATAGACTCTGTTACATCTAAACATGATGCTGTTTTTGCTCCATTCTAATTGAACGCTTTTTCTGATCGAACCAGCTGGGTATAACTGCTAATTCCTAATATATTAGTTTTTTTTTATAAAATGGACTCACCCAGTATACATATATTTATTTACGTGAAGAAATTTTTAAGAAAGAAGAAAAGTCGAGTCCATTTGACAGAAAAAGGTTGTAGGTAACCGGAAAAGTGCATTTTTAATTTTGTTTTAGGTAACAGTGTTGATATGTAGACTCATTAAGAAGTCGAACATTTTTCAGTTCAATATCAAAGTCATATATAAATATTTTGTTACTAACCCGTATTCCTGGAACTACTAACCTGCTTTACCAGTTTGTATTATTACGTTAATACATTATTTTCATATATTCATTCCTGGCGTTTGTTATTTATTGGTACCGGATGATTTCAACCTGGAATCCACAATTTATATATTTGCTAGTATAAATATGATTTTGCATTGGCAATATGTTCTTAAAATAAAAAAAATTATTTACTAATGAAAATCATTTAAAAAATTTCAAATACCATTTTAAACAATCAAAAATATTTTTAAAAATATAAAAATATATAAAAAAATTGAAAAACAAAAAAATAACAAAACACCTGGTTTAAAAGAAATTAAAAAAATTGAGAGATTATTTCAAACAAAAGTAAAAATAAAAATTTTAAAAACAAAAAATATGCTGATGAGAAAAGACTCATATAAAAAAAAAAAAAAAAAAAAAAAGAAGATAAGATTTAAAAAATAAATAAATACCATTTTGGAAAATCAAATGCAAAAAACAAAAAAAAATAACATGGAATAATTTGAAATTTAAAATTTTTTTTTAATTTAAATTTTAAAACAAATTTTAATATACAAAAAACAAAAAAATTATTTAGTGCGTTATTTCCAAATGAGCATAAGAAATTAATCATAAGTGAATTTAAATTGGGGACTAATGCAAAACTGTTTTTAAAATTATTGGTTAAAGAATGGATTTTGAATTTATTGAAGTCTGTCTATATTTTTGAGAAAATATATTAAAATTTATTTATTTAAATGAAAAAACTTTTCTCATTTTTTTTTTTATAATCAAATTTATTAACGAATATTAAAAACATTGGCCTTCTTCAAAATTTTTTAACTAAAATTTTTTATTTTTTCGCAAAATCACTGTTCTAAATGAAAATGCTATTTTAAAAATGGAAACAAGTTATCAATAAATCTCCTGTAAATTTTAATAATCCAAGTTCAAAACCGCCTTTAAAGATATTGAATAAGTGTTTTTTGGGTTTTGTTTTTGGATTATAACAAAAAAAAATCCAAAATGCCATGAATCATTTTTTTTTAGTTTTTTTTAAATTTCTTTTAATTTGATAAAAAGACTGGATTTTTATGATGATATATATGCCATCTTTTAAATATAATAAATCAAAATTTAATTTTTTTTTTAGCGTTTAGTATAGTACATTCAATTGACTACAAAAATAACACATTGCCAAAAATTTTTAACTATAAAAATTCCAATTTAAAATCGAAAAATATACATATTATATATATATATATATATATATATATATATATATATAATATTTTAAGAAAAAAACTAAAATACATTTAATAGATTTTTATTAAAAGAATTTTATTTAGTTGATGCTAAAATTTCAAAAACAATTTTTTTTAATTTTAAAAAAAATTCAAATTAAAAAAAAAATAAAAAAAAAATTTTTTAAAAAATGAAATACATATTTTTAAATTAAAAATAAAGAAACAAGTTATATTGTTAAAAAATATTTCATAAAAAAAAAAGGCATATTTCAATAAAGGTTTATATTTTTTTCAAAATAAATTACGAATTTTTTTACAAAAAGAAAATAGTTTCCAAAAATAATTTTTAGAGAATTTTTTGAAAGTAAAAAATTTTATTTTAAAGAAATAAAACAGTTTATAATTAAAAAAAAAAATAAATTAATATTCATAATTGTTTAAATTGGGTTTTTTTGCATTAAAAAAATTTTTTTTATTATATATAAAAAAATTTTAATTTTTTTTTGCAATTCATTTTATTTACCCATTTAGCTGAAAAATGATAATAAAAATTTTATATATATATATATATATATATATATATATATATATATAATATAAAGGTTAAAAAAAATTTATTAACAAAATTTTGAAAATAAAAAAAATAATTAAATATTAAAATTAAATTTTTTTATTTTTTTTTTTATTTCCCATTTCCAAAATTCATTCATGAAAAGAAAAAATATACCATGTATTATAAATATATATATATATATATAAATATATATATATATATATATATATATATATATTCCTTTTTAATTGAAAAGTTTTTCAATTGAATTTTTTTATAAATTAATTTCAAAATTAAAAGAATGAAAATGATGTTATCGGACTGAGGGGGGGGTCGAAATTTCGTACATTTAAAATAAGGGAAAATGCTTTCATGAAAAACAAAATTCAACAAATTAACTGATTATTATAATTGCGTGAAATTGTGTAGTCATAAAAAAGGATGAATTATTAAGCGTCAAACATTTTTCTTATTCAACATTAAGTGCAAAATATAAATACATTAATTAATGAAAAAATTTTAAATTCAATTAAATATCAAAAAAATATATATAAAACAATAAATATCTATATATGATAAATATATATATATATATATATATAATAGATATAGTAAATTTTATATATAAAAATATAATAACCTCTTAATAATTTGGAAAAATAAAATTATTTTCCAAATAAATATGGGGTAAATATCAAATGTTAATTAAAATATAATAAATAGTTGATAAAAAAAAAAGAAATTGAAAAACTTTTTATGAAATTTTTAAAATTTAAAAAAAAATAAAAAATAAAAAAAAAAAAAAAAAAAAAGCAATAATAAATCAAATAGAAAAACATATTAATTGCAATACATTTTGGCGAAAAAAAAAAAAATATTAATTAAAAATAAAAAGATATTGTCGATGCGTTAAATAACACATTGAGGTTCATATGTTATTAAAAAAAAAAAAAAAATATATATATATATATATATATATATATATATATATATATATAGTTAATATAAAAAAATTTTTTGAAAAAAAAAAAAAAAAAAAAATTAAATATAAAATTTTTTTTTGGTTTTAATTTTAAAAAAAATGTCAACGTCTGAAAATTTCTAATTAATAAAGATGAATTAAAAAATATATAAAAATTTATGAATTTTATTTTATTTTGAAAAAATAGGTTATTTTAACCATATAAAAATTTTAAAATATATTTTAGCAGTTTTTTTACAATTTTTAAAATATAATATATTCAATTATATATAGATATATATATTTATATATATATATATATATATATATATATATATATATAAATTTTTGGGCACATGAAAATATAATAATTTTTGAATTTTAGGCAAAATGAAAAAAAAATGTTAAATATAAACATTCATTGTAAATAAAAAAAATTTTTTGTTTTAAAAGGATGGTTTCCTTTTTTGGTAAAACAAAAGCAACTTTATTACGAATGTCAGAACGATTAGAATCTTTTAGAAAATTAAAAAAATTTAATTTTTAATTCAAAATTAATTTTTTTTAAAAAATTTTATTTCATTATTTATTTTATATATATATATATTTATATATATATATATATGTACATTCATTTTATCATAACAACTAAAAAATCAATCAATCATTTAATTTAAAATCTTTTATATCTCTCTCTAATCTTTCTCTCTATTTATAGAAAGAGCATTAAATAGATATTAACAGTATTAATAGAAATTTTATTTAATATATTAAAATATATAAATAAATTAATATATATATAAATAATATATATTTATATATATATATATATATTTAAATACATTTTATATTAAAAAATAAATTTATTATAAATTATTTTATTTATAGTAAATATTTTGTTTATAATAAACAGTATTAAATAACATTTACCGGCCTGAATGTCTTATAAAAATTAAATTTCAAAATATTCGTCTCAATTTACAGGATAATAAAAATATTTGTATCTATAAAAAAGAATTTTAAACATAAAAACGTCTTTAATAAATTGTCGGACTTTTCCATTTCTTAATGTATATATATATATATATTATACAGCCCTATATATTTTCTTATATAGATAGATTATAATAGAAATTGAGACAGATATGAACAGAATTAGAAAGAACAAAATTAGGATAGATAATGATTTAGAATGACATAAGTATTAACAGTCTAGATAGATAGATATTATATATTTTTATATATATATATGATTATATATATATATATTTTTTTTATTAAAAGAGACATTGAATAAAAAAGGAAGATATAAGATTCCATTTATTCTGGTAAAAATATATATTTATAATTACCTAAACAAAATATTCCAAATTTATAAACTTATTAGAGAAGTTTATGGATATAAGATACATATATAAATGATTAAAACAACTCAACAATTTATATATTTTTGAAAAATATATATATATATATATATATATATATATATAGATAGATAGATAGATAAAATTTTAGCCATATACAAATTTTTAAATAAAATAAATATTACTAATTTATATATATATATATATATATATATATATATATATATATATTAAAATATATTTCATATATATATATAATATCCATCATAAAGATATCAAATTTAAAAATATATTAAGATATATTAAATAAATAATGAATTGATAGTTATATATATATATATATATATATATATATATATATATATATATATATATATATATATTTAACAAATCTTCAATTATAGATAGATGTAAGAAGATAGATAGATAATAAATAGGACAAATAAATATAGACTTGATAAATAAGAACAAAATTTGAAGGATAGACCCATAGTTAAATAAATAAATAATATGATGTTTAAATTTAAATAAATAAATGTTTATTTGAGCCGTTAAAATGAACATGTATTAACAAATTTAAAGATAGATAATATTATCATTATATATATATATATATATATATATATATATATATATATATATATATATATATATATATATATAATATATATGCAATCATATATATAAATACATGAATTATTCACACAAAACTAATGCAAAGGTTAATGATTTAAATGGCGAGACATCCATCATCGCAAACAATTCAAATAGTATACAAAAACC